ATGCTATTTATCTCTATATCTTTTTTCTGCTTTCATCAGGGATCTTTCGGTTCCACTCCCTTACACACATCCCCAATTATGCTGAAGACTTGGTTTTGTCAAAAAGTTTCATCTTCGGAATTCGATTCATTCACTGAAAATCTATCCCATATACAACAGTTTTCCGATCAATCTGGTCTCGCCCTTAACACATCTAAGTGCGTGTAGATTATCTTCAGTCTGTCCCGCTGCTCATTTCCCACCATTGCCTGTAAACCTGTGTCCAGATTGACCTCAGTCAAGTACCTGGGTGTTACCATCGACAGCGATCTTCGGTGGTCCACACTCAATTACATGAGGAAACTGCGAAGTCTCTCTTCTCAGTTGCGCAAACTCAGGCAATCCCGAACCCCACAATCAGTCCTGTCCTCTTTCTTTCGCCAATGCGTTTTACTCATTCTACTCTATTGCTCCCGTGTAGTATTTTCATGCCTTTCAAAACAAGACTTCAAAACCATTCTTCATGGTTTGATAATAATCAATCGTGCATCATTAATCCCAGTCGATCCATTAATCACATCCCATCCGTCCATTTCGGCATCTACCCTCTCGCATTAATGTTTATAAAAATTCCTCTGTACCCTTCCTGGCCCGACTCCTAACCAAAAAGGAACAGGTCGCAAGTGAATTGCGTCAGAATTTTTGTACATGAAACAAACTTCAGCGGCATTCTTTACTTTGCATGTTATAAGAAACTGTATATTTTATTTCGCGTGACGACCAGTGTACATTTTCAACTGGAATGTGGGCATATAAGCTTGCCCAAGTTATGCAAATACAAATTGCTGGTGAAGTGTCAGACGCAAAAGCAAAAATCTGTGTGCGTTAGTACAAACTTGCGCAACAGCACCAACACGAGCAGGTGATAAACGGAAGAATTCAGTAGTGCTGTTTTGCTTCAAAATAGACATTAAGGGGATGACGGTGATCACGTGATTAAGACATGTGTACAAGAACACCCACAAACTGAAGGTGCGCTTCAAGGAGATGACTAATGACTGATCGGGAGGATATACTTGATACTGCGATTTCGAACACATGGCCATCCTTCAAAGAAGCCGTCAGAGTGAGAACGACCAGCAGGAAATTTCTATCGGTTATTTTAGATAATACGTGCTCCGACTAACATTCGAATATCAACCGTTCAGCCAGTTTGTTTTCCAAAGACGTAAACGCCAACAGAAGTCCGAGTAAAGTGAGAGGATGCGGCACCAAATCATCTACCATCTGATGTGGTTGTAGGAATTACTTTTTAATCCGTTTCTATGTTTTTTTTTCAACCAAAGTTACATTCACAATTTGTCATCCTTTCACTTAACATTGAAGTAAAATTCATGTACGTTGCTTCGTTTAAATATAATGCTGTAATAGTTACATTGTCGACACCACAATATGCTTATATTTGACTTAGTTCACTTTCACGATGACAGAAAGAAATGCTCTCAATTTTCGTATGATATGACCAGTACGGGCCGATAAGTATGCAGTACGCTAATCGTACACGCCAGTGGCACTTTTGAGGACCTTGAACTCTGACAGTCATCGCAGATGTGAATACTACCACCCGTTTGAAAACAGACCATATGGCTTACCGATTCTATCTGCCCAGTTAAATNGGACTTCATATACTGCTTCACAGTTTACCAGTAGCCTCGCTGTGGTTGACTGATAGCAAATATTTTAACATGCAGTTGCAAAACAATCTGGCGTTTCTGTGGTAATCGTAGCCTACGGGATGACGCAAACCGCGGGGCGACACGTTACAGTTTCTGGACAACTGTTATGAGCCAAGCTTCCCAGATGACGTCAGCAAAATGCCTACCCGTTACAGCTTCTGGACTACAAACTATAAGCCGATTGTGCAAACAGATCAGAAGCCGTGCAGCTCAGACAGAAGCTTTAAGAAGCCCAGAATACGAGCACGATATGCCTGGGTAACCAATAGACTTCTTTTGTACATGTTATTTAATCCCCTTGATTTCTTCCAATAAATGAACTGCTACTTCTGTGGCCTTTTTCCTTGCTTCTCGGTTACGTGGGATACCGTCGTGCAAGTGCCATTGTAATTCAGTGCTTCCGTGGCGTCTTTGATTCCTAATGGGTGATTCGTAATCCGTGATCTGTGCGTACTTCAACCATTACAGCTTCCCGAGAGGAATACACCCTATGAATAAATCAAATAACTTCGGAAGACGATCCTTCCACGTTGAAGTGTCAATCCTGCCGACAGTCATTTGCTGGATATCTGGAGCGACCATGATATTACTACCTGGTAGCGGTTTGTCATAGTGTATAGTTAAGTAAACGGCGACTGAAGATCAAGATGTTCGAAGTGACTAGCCAACAATGACAAAGCCTTCAATCTCCAGTGATTCTTTTGTATAACTGCCAAACTTGATTTAGTGTAGTTTCGAAGAAGTTACGGACTGCGGATCACTAATCACAGTCGCAATTGAAGCACCAAATTGCACTGGTAGCCAATCCATCTGTAGGTAAATTCCGGAAAGGAAACTTCTCACCAACAGAGCGTTGTGTGGCGGATGGATGGACGTCAACAGCCTTAAAATCTCTTTTATCCGCCGCGTCAAACAAAGGCTAGATGCCCTTCTTCCCGTGCAATGAATGCAATTCAGTGCATTTACCAAAGATTAAATCTTTAAGCTTTTCCGATCGTCGAAGCATCCTCAGTCACACGCCTTGATGGCCTTCCTCCAGCATTTTTTAAATTTGGAGCATCTTCCCTGGCCAATATGATGACATCCCTCGTTAATGAGTCCCTATCTTTCCGGTCAACTCCTGATTCTGGACTCAAGTTACCATTATTCCAATCCCCAAATCCTCGTTCTACACTGTTCTTACGAAACGGNGCCTTCAATCTCCAGTGATTCTTTTGTATAACTGCCAAACTTGATTTAGTGTAGTTTCGAAGAAGTTACGGACTGCGGATCACTAATCACAGTCGCAATTGAAGCATCAAATTGCACTGGCAAGCGTGAGCTGGAACCTCGTTTCACCGAGACGCAGGAAACAGGCCGGAGAGCTAGCGGTTCCTTCATTGAAGAAAATCAATGAGAATAAATGATATGTATAAAGGCAGTTTGTTGGCTATGCAGGTCCCCACCAATAGCCTGCTTGAATTATTCATGTCATACAACTTCTGTCTGGACCGCACGACCTTTGATTGGTTGACACAATTGGCCTGTGGTTCTTTGTCCAGAAACTGCAACGCGTCGCTCCGTGGCTGGCGATATACCGTAGGTAAGGATCATCACAACTCTCCTCGCTCAAAAGAGCCTCCTCCATTTAGCTCGCTCTTTTGCTTGGTCTTCGCAGTACCAGAGGGACATTCTCATCGGTAGACGTTCCAGGTGTATGGAATTGCGGATTTTGGTTTTCCGTATCTAGCAAAGCCCTATTATTGGACGAGTTTTCTTGGGTCTATACAGTAGAATCCTCAGTCAAACTATGAATCCTCTTGAAATGGATTTGATTAATGTGACGTCGATGAATGTCGCCTCTGTCAAGGTAAATGAACTCGACCATAGCTTGGACAATCTTTCGGGTTATGATTCCCCTTGCTGGCCCTGGAAGTACACGTCGTCACTTGCGGCAACACAGTGTAACGGGGACCATAAACTTCTTGTTTTTAACAGTTTAGCCGGACTTTCTTTGGTGGTGGCATGTGCAGCATTTAGCTATTGTAACAGGAAGTGGTTCAGGAGTATTCCCAATTCTGAAATTGTCTTCGGATTTGCGTAGGTAATGGTGCTCTTCCCCGTTTTCACCAAATTTTCCGCTGCGCCGTTCGGACAGGGATGACTTGGTGCTGTGCGCAGATGTCGACAACCAATACTGCCCATTCACGTTTCCATCTCCGCAACGCAGAACTGCGATCCGTTATCAAGCACCATTACTTGGGGAACTCACTTTTAATTAAAACACTTTTGATGTGGTCGGTGTGCCGGTTAGAAACACATCCGGCCACTTTGAGTACGCATCGATGGGCACCAGTGCATGATAATGGCCGACGAACGGTCCGCAGAAGTAGTCGCTGAATCATCGCCTCTGTCGGTTTGGAAATCGACTTGTACGGAGGGAATAGGTATTCAGTGCTTGGGGATCGGTCAAAATGGTGAAACGCAATCCAAGCAGATATTTATGCAGGCGTCGGACAGCCCAACGTACGGCCAAAGCTTCCTTCTGCTTTTGCGAACACCCCGTTCCGCCGTGTTCAGCAAGCGAGAGATGCAGGCAATGAAACATTCATCCTGTTCAAGTACGGCACCAATACCAACATCTGACACGTACGTAATCAACGTCGGAGAAAACGAGGCAAGTACTGGCCGTTCCGTTATCATCTAAATGATTTCGCGCGAAATTTGTTCACGCTTGTCCGTTCACTTCCATTCTGATGCTGACTGAGCTGCAAACAGCGGTTCGGCTTTCGTGACGAAGTTCGGGATGAAATGTGAGTAGGACTGAAGGCATTCCATGATGGACCTCAGTTGGTGCTGGTCTTTCGATGATTCCAGTTCACTCAAGGGACGAAATCGACCAAGATCAGGACGGTAACCTTTTGAATCAACTATGAAACCAGAAAATTCCGATTCCGGAGGGCTGAACATGCATTTGGAGGTCCGAATCAACACATTCTTTTGAGCAAAACGCTCCAGTAATTTGAGGAGTCTGTCGTTGTGTTCAGCCTTTGTTGTACCAAACAAAATAGCATCATTTTGATATGCCTATACACAACCGAGTCCACGAATGACTTCGTCAATCCTCGCCTGGAATATGCCTGATGAAGTATGCAGACCGGACGGCAAGAAGCAGTATTGATACAGCCCCTACGGTGCGTTCATATTGAACTGCCGGCATATTGGAACGAGAGGGATTTAAAGATATGCGTCTGCCAAGTTGATTTTTGAAAAGCGCGCGCTACCATGTGATGCTTTCATGAAATCTTATGGTAAAAGAGTAGTGGTGGCACACTTTCTCATCTGAAGGTTCAGGGTCAACCGATAGTCACCGCAGATTCGTGGTGATTTACCGTCACTTTTGATGGCTACCACAATTGGTGTTGCCCACGCACTTGACGTAACACGAGTGGTTATAACATCACGCTCCATTTTCTCGATGGCTTTCAATACATCTTCACGTTGACCATATGGGATTACACGCCGTTTCATAAAGATCGGCTGACCGTCAACTTCCAATTTAGCAGGCTGAACGTTCATGCCTCCAGAGTTGTTGGAACACTTCACGATTAAGCGCTGCAGTTGCGTATGCACATTAGGCACGGTACTAGTATGAAGTGAAACGGAGTGGTTCAACGTACTAATGACGGCCAAACCAAGTGTGGATGGACTGCTTTTGGCGATCAAGAAGCTAATGGGAACAAAGCGGTTTTCTGTGGACTTCACCATCAACGGCAGTTTGTGTCCCGTTACGCCGAACGTTGAACGGATTTTGGTTTCGGGAAAAATCGATGGTAATACTTCAGTAGACTTGATAGATTCCGTACTTCCTGAGTCCACAATGAATTTGTACTTCACACCAGGCTGTAATACCACATCTTTATGTAGAAACTGAGCACACTGACCCTGGGTTCGTAATGCAAACACCGGGCTTCGTGCCGTTGGAATAGACCGATTCGCTGGAAGTTGACTGCATCAGATCATGTTGTTTACAGATCTTATGTGCCCCTGTGAACGTCAGTTTCTTCATTTCCATTGAAGTGTCACCAGGCGGTCACACGGTTGTTCCTCCGGACGATCGCGTAATTGTACCGTGCCACCTGCTTGTTCAAACGGAGGATGAAATCGCAATCTGAGATGTTTTCGGCACCTACCAAGGAATTGAATTTGTCCCTTTCGTGTGCCTGGAACTCAGTGTGTAGCAGCAGCACGTCCCTCGCTGCTTGGAGTCGGAGTTGCAGAAGGTAGTCTGCTAAACGATAAACTCTAACATAGGGTAAAGGAAGCAATTAGAGGTCTTTGTTGTGTGATGGAGAAAAACCCCAGGGCATTAGCTTGGCGCATTGAGTATACCTGTGACCGGGAATGAGGTGCATCTTTTCCGACTGTATTACCAGAATACGTTGCTGAATTTCTGGACTGTTTTCAATAAACAGATGCTCGATTTTACTTGTACACACTTCACATCGATCAATCAAGTAGCTCGTCCTTCTTCATTCTCTTGAAACTTCAAGTGACAGGAAGCAAATGGTCGCATGAATAAGTTGTTGACACAACTTGCTGTACTCCAAGTCTCCTGCGGTCCATTGAGTTCCATAAGTTAACAGAGCAATTCCAGGTCGCGTGACGCTTCCTTCTTTAGAATCCGGCGACACCGCTAGAAAGTGCGCTACGCCAACCGACCCAGGCAACGACTGTATAGGGATTATCCAGATGGTCTATTCTACCTCAGTTCGATCCTTGATGGACCGGTGACAACCAAAATAATACTTGCGGTTTTCCCCGAGTTACACAAACTGTCAGACATCCTCCCATAGGTTTCTATAGACATTGTCCATCATATGGTAACACGCGGCCTACCAATCCACTGTGAGCTCAAACATCTCGCACCATACAAACAGAAAGTTGCACTTGCAGAATTGCAGCAAATACCAAATCAAGAAATTACTTGACTTGCGTCTAGCTCATGGAATTCTCTACTACACATAATCCTTAGAAGGTACAACTGGTGGATCTGCCGCGACTGTAGAACCCTCAACAACACCACCAATCCATGTTACACATTCGGGCCGGAACACCAAGCTTAGAAGGATGTAGGAGCTGTTTTTTTAGTAAAAACCATTTAGTCCTTGCATGCAACTCTTTGGATGTCCCTAAGACTGCAGTGACCACATTGCCTAGTCCATTTGGATTTCTGTTTATGCCTTATGAGCCTGGAAACGCAGCGTAAACACTTCACATTCTATTCGCGCTTGTCTGACTCAGCAGTGTTCTTTTCGAGAACGTAAAGTATATTCTCAAGGCCATATAATCTCTAACTTAGGCATAGCCCCCGCTATAGGACGAAATAGCAGGCATGATTGTATCTGAAAACTAGTTCCGTTAACTTCGACGCTGCTATAGTTTAGTCTATTAATCTGGTGTTTCGAACCCAGCTGAAAAGTATTTATACAACCCTCTTCGACTTACTGCGTACCCATCCTAAAAGGTTTGCGTTTCCCGAAAGATGCTATCAAAGCATCCACGAACTGAGACAGGTGATTCTTTGATACGGCCACAGCTTCACATCATATTTCCGATGCCACTGAAGCATCGGAATTGGCTGAAGGTGCTGTACCACATCAACGTATAGGTGAATAATAGCAACCCCTAGGATTCCTCGCGAAACGATCCCAGCCGGTGCAGTCCAGCCACAACAGATTTGGTTGCGAACTTCTAGCTGCCAATTTGTCTATCTGGCTCTTCTACACATGCCAGTTGTTTTCACTGACCACAAACCACTCATTTTTTACTGCATGCTCTAACTCAGATAGATATTGTTCCAAAGAAGCACATCGCCTAGATTACATCACCCAGTTTACCGAGGATATCACATATACCTCAGGGGCGATCAATTTTTGTTGTGGATGCGTTTCCACGCACCCAGCTAATTTCCGTCTCAAACAACATCAACCTATGCCAATTTGCGGTTTTTCAAACAGCCGACCCAGAACTGGAGCGTTTTAAAAGCAACATTTTTCAGGAAGTGCCACTAGCCGCTTCAGAGGGCGGTGAAAATTCAGTTTTTTTCGACACCTTGCAGTTAAAATTCAAGATAATTTGATGAAATTTCGTATTTTGACATTTAATTCGGTTATCGTCTAGTTTCTCCAAAATGGCAATGATCGTGCATATGGGAGTGGAAATAATCAGAAAATCTAGGGGAGGGGGTAGTACTTTCGTTGCGGTTTTGCCAGTTCAGTGCTGTCGGACTGGGACAAATAACAAACCCAGTCGTTCTTAGACTAATATGCACTCGAAGATTCACAGGGGACAATATGGACGATAAGTAGGGGGACCCGAACACACACTTAGGCAGTCGAGTGGAGGGAGAAACATCTCCGGATAGGTCAGCTGCAAATGAAAAATGATAATCGGTCGCAACCAACAAGTAGTCAGTAGGTCATAATATGATGGGCTTCAGAGTTATCAGTTGACACTAAGACGCCAGAATTAACCCAGAGAAATGTTTGTTTTGAAACTAAGCTTACCCGAAATTTGTTCATCAAAGACAATATTAGGATAAAGACTTGAGAACCCACTGAAGACTACTAGATAGCATTTACATGAATCCCCAATGGGACCTGTGCGCGTATTGAAAACATCCTGTCTTTCCCGAGATGCATAAGCTATCGGTTTTCTTATTGCCCATGAAGAGTGTGGATCTTTACACTTACTGAAAATTACGAATTGGTAGATTTTTCTGTTGGTTCGCTGTAATGCGGATCAATCAGGTCATGACTGGGCAGAGGTCCCATACGGCAAGTGTTAGGAAAACCGCTCTACCTTGACAGTAGAGTGCTCGATAAATATCTCGAGCATAAACCCTTTTGAAGCTTCCCGTCTTATTTCACGAACTGTGAGGTCAAGACTATGTTCTATAAAATGCATCAGTGAGACATGATTCGACTGTGGTAAATCTGTTTGCATACAATAGACCTAGTGGGAATGTTTGGACCAGGTGAATAGTGTGGGAATAATGAAGGAAAGATGTAGATAGAAATTCCGAGACACAAAAGATGATCATAGTTTAAGAGACAGGTTGGAAGTTCATGCACATACAGTATATACCTCTCTGTTCCATACATGTGCAGACTAGGACTACGACACAGCAGCAGTAAAACAACCAAAACTAAGGACTACACTGGTCGAAAGCGAGATACCGAGGGCCAACGCGGTTAGCCTAATGGAAATTGCTGATGATCAAGATTGACGTTGTTGCCTTGATTCAGGTATCGCCCGGTATTTAGTGTGAGTAAGATAAGAATAGCAGCAGCAGCAGGTGAAAACACGAGATATCACATGCTTTGCTATGATCAGCCTCGAGTTTTGAATGACAAGAATTCACGAGCGCCGTAGATAGCAATAACGCACACATGATATCTGATAATGAAGACAACAACCGGTAGGAAGTCGAGAGTATGACATTTCAAAATAGGCTACGACTGACAGGGGATAAACACCAGATTAACAGGTAAGAAAAATCTGAGTTATCAAGGAGAGAGAAAGTGAATTGATGCAAAAAGGCATGGAGTAATCACAGCAAAGTTCAGTGTAGCGAATGCTTTGATCGAGTGCATGCGGTTCACACAGATAATGACAAATAGAGGAGCGGACGGACGGGGCAGGCAATGTGCGAAGAGAGTGTAACAATCGGGGCGGTAGACGAATGTTTACTGGAGAAACTTGAAAATAGATTTCTCCGGGTTCGCCTTGTCTACATCTTTCCAATCAGGGAAAAGGATTGGACAAGTACCGCTTAGCTGCTCCTCCAAAGACCAGATGAGAATCTGAGCGAAGAATTCCGATCCTGGACGTGAGAAATGCAGACCATCGATCAACATGTCTGTCCAACTCTAAGCGAGATAAAAAAAGAAGACCGATACAGGAAAAAGACAAGAAGTTTCGTCAATTAGGATGAACACTCGTTTAAAAGGGAGAGAAACCACTCATCGACACGTATATTCTAAAGTTAGTCAACAAATAAAAAACAACAACACTGAATGCTGAATTAGTGCAATTTCCTCCTCAACTGTGCATGCATCCTGTTATCTTCATACGCTCGTTTGCCATAGTGTGATAATGATTGAACGAAACCAGAGCACGAGCTTGAACCTACTGAAGTGAACCGAAAACAAATACAGTTAAGCGAGCAAACCTGTTTTCGGTGTTTCATCAATCGGCAAACCAGAAGCTCGTGGCCGAACGTTATGCCTGGTTTGGAACTGATGGCAACGTAGCTACATGGGTTTGATGTCGGCTGTAATAACAAGGTTGTGATATCCTGTATGGATCAGGGCACCGCTGGCTAGCCCGTTGATGAGTCAACGAAAATGAGATTGATGGAAGCTGGAGGTAGTGCCAGCGCACTGAGCGTTTGATTTTTCCCGTGGTTGTTAGCTGGAGTCATTTTTTGAGTCCATCGCTCACGTTTTTAATTCGCGCATGTCCACCGGAGTGATCGCCAGGAAGTTGGAAACCTATCAAGATAAACTCTGTTTAAGAATAAATCAAGTGAACACCGCCATACAGCCATGGGCACTCTCGATTATGAAAACACAGTCGGTTCTGTGAATCAGAACACTTTGCTACATCTCCTCCTCCGTGACTGTGGTGCTCAATCAGATATCCTCAATGTTTTATTTCAGTAATTGTTAACGCCGTTTACTTTCTGAGGAACCAAAGGTTTTTCGGTTCTCCTTATCAATTTCGGTGTGTTTCAGGTAGTCACTCTGTCAACTTTTCTCTCCCTCTACACAAGACATTCCTATTCCCCGCGGTTCCATAGGTCGCAAATATACAGATGATTTTGTTATTGGATGTCCACAAACCGATCCCTCTTAATTCGATTCTCTGCACGACTGATCATCTAATCCTTGTAACTGGTCTATATTCCGCTTCCTAGAGTACAATGTCCAAAATTGTGTGGATATCCCATTCACTCTTGAATCTAGTTCATCATACCAGTCGGTTATTCACAATCTTTCTCTCGCTCAATCAAATACTGAAACAACACTATTCCCCCCTAAGTGAACCATATAACTGTTGTTAATAACCTATCATCCTGGAATTTAATATCAGCTTTACCAATCTTTTATTATCATACTTCTCTATCACTGCACAATGCATAAAGCCTTCCCCACTTTGGCCTCAGGAGAGAGTGGACGGTAATAGGAAAAGTTACCCGGTGCTCACTCATATGGACCTTTTGAGATTGAGCCTTGTTTATCCTCTATCCGGTGAACTTTAGAGCCTGATTGGATGTGAAAACCATCTTGCTCAGCTCGCTCTTTCACGGAGCCACGCAACTCATCACGTCACATGGAGGCTCAGTCTCACCGTCTTTTTCATTTTAATTTTTACTTCCTTTCATTGAATATGCAAAGGTACAGTTTTTAGGAAGGGGGAAGCAGCCAATCAAAGGGCTGCCATACAACACAGAATGGTGGAAGTCAGGCGGTGGCGGTGGGATTAGGACACACGTCCTCCGGGGTGGTAGTTTGGTGACGTTACCATCGAACCACCACCGCCCGTGATGATTAACAAGGTATTGGCCATTTGACAAAGAAATGCGTTAACACCAAAGTATGGTAACAGTGACTGGTTGGAAACTCGAACTTTATGGGAGAATAGGGGGTCAGCGACAAAGAATTAAACCATGTCAGATCGATCATTCTAGTTATGATATTGATTTTCATTTGCTCCGGTGTATTTACGATGTCGATCGACCGACTGAATTTGAACACATTTTCTTTGTATTTCTCCACACTTCTCTTGCTACTACGCTTTTACTGGGTCGGATTGGGAACAAAAAAACTGAACCATCGACCGAATTTGAACGAAGGAAACCGCGACCGTAATCCTCTGTTGAGATGGGATTTGTCAATAGGGACACTAGATTGACAGAGAAAAAAATATTCTACTGTGCATACATAGAAAAGGGTGATGAAATATTAATTCCAATCTAAGTATGGTAACAGCAGAAAATGAATCCAAACACAAACTGACTGATTAGCACTGGCTTCGTTGAGTGGGGGGAGCAACGTTTTACACTGAACTGGTCCCAGCGCGACTTCAACCAACTACACTTTTGTTTGTTGTTCGTTTAAGTAATACGTCACTCAGTTTGAAGCATCTGAAATTTTGTCCACAATCCCGGTTGAACAGTTCATCGTTACAGTTTGAATATATCAATGATTCTTCGGATAGATACGATTCCCAGCGCTCAGATAGCTCCTACTGAGTTGGACACTAAAAGCCAACTACCCCGCGAAATCATTTACTGGCTTTCAGTAATGAAGAGCATTGATGTTGAGAGTGCGTGTGAGACAGTGAATTGAGAATCACGAAGCAATATGGCATTCAAGGTTGATTTCGGTCAAGTTTGGGGTGGGGGTAGGGGTCAACCGGTCACTTTCATTTAATCTCGCGTTTGGATTGATTCCATGAATGAGATTGTCAGCTTGAAATTGAGTGTTTTTTATCCGTATGACCTTTTGAGTGTATAGATGATTGAAAAAGGTTAGCAAACAGATTGAGATAAAACACATGCGCAAAAGGAATCATCATCATTATCTTACAGCGAGATAAAGGAAAGTGAAATTCGCTGATCGCTGCCTAGATCACAATGTACACAAAGTAAGTAATAAAGTACAAGATGGAGAGGAATTGAGTCTAGCCGGAGGGAGAAGAAAGTGAGCCTGTATGGTCAACACGTACAGGGCACAACCTAACTATGCATACGCACCATTTCAAGCATCCTCACCCAATGAGGAACGCCCCTGGTTTCGGTTAGTTGCCATATCCTTCAGTCTTTAACCAGCCAGTTGGAGAGTCTTTCGGACCCCAACCTGGAAGACCGGAGGCATCTACTCTACCTAATGGCTCTGTGCATTTCTTCATGCCTCGTCTCCACATCATTTGTTGACCTATGTGTGATTTCCTTCCATCTGGAGCCGCAACTGGGAATAAGGCGCACTGCGGTAGACGAAAGCTGGACATGCGCAATACCTGTCCGAACAAGTGAAGCTGGCTAATCCGAATTTGATGTGATAACGAATACACGACGGAGTCATTAGCAATTACTCGACAGCTTGCTTCAGAGTTGCTGACACGCTCGCTCTATCTAACCCGCGCCAAACTATGTAAACATCGACAGTCAAAGACTGCTAGGCAATGGATATCTTCCACGCGCAAATTTAGGGTCTCGCCACTGTAAAATAGAACTGAACGCATTCTGGTGCAGTATTCGAAACCTTTCAGTCTCAATGAGACATCACGTCTGCACCAAAGTTGTTGAAACAACTGCGTATGCTGCTCGTGCCTAGGAAATGCGGGCGGTTAATTGCTTAACTACGTTACCGACATTTGTCACGTAACTACCTACCACTGTAACCAACTAATGACCATCAAGTACCAGAGCCGAGGTGAAACACACCCAATCTCGTAGCATCACTTTGCAATTCGAAGGTATGCAGCGGACACCAAATGGAGTTACAGAACTTGAAGTCAGTCAAGAGCGCTTTGCACACCGTCCATATGTACATTTGAACAGACAAACGATGTCATCGGCATACTCTAAATCGCACAGCTCTTCTCCAGCTGCCCACTCAATATCAACATTTTGGAGATCACTTAGTATGTCAGCCAGTACTTCGTCCACGACGAAGTTGAATAGAAATGACGAAACAGGGCACCTCTGACAAACACCGTTGCTGGTTTCGAATGATTTGCTTAGCCCACCGTAGACCCGCACGCTACCAGAAGTCTGCGGGTACAGTGCTCGCAATAGGTTGATATACATCTGCAGCATGCCTTTGGGAAAGGCCGATAGTGGGAGATCTAAGACATTTGCTTTCGTTTATAAGCACGCAAGCACGCACTAGGTTGATTTTTGAAAATGGTGACATCCCGCGGAATTCAGTTTGATTTGTCCTGATTGATTGACGATTCGTCATGAATAACATGATAGAAAAAGTACGCTTAGTACATGAATGCACAGACAAAGATAAAGCAATGAGTGAGCTAGGCTGAAAACACATTCACACCACAAAATGTCCAAAGCAAATTGTTTTACTAACCTTTTGTGCTATCATAGCCTCGTACAGATTGAGAAATTGGGCTTGGGTCGAAAGAGCAGCTTGCGCACAAGCGTTGACATAAGCCTGGCAGTTCTTCATATCTCGATTGAACGGTTTGCCTGCAACATGAAAATGCATCAAGTTAAAAGTCCCTTGATGACAAAATACGAAATGACACTGTAATACTCGTTCAATCCCCTTTAGTGACCATTTGTCCGTTTGCAATGTTTGTGTGACTACGATGCGCATGCCAGAGCTGACATACGAACATGGACATGTTTACCACAGTGAAAATGTCATTAGAATTGTGCTATCACAGGGCTAGCACCAAAAGGGTTAACTTTAACCTGCATATTATTGTTGCCACAAAAACGACAACATCGAGACCAAATTTATTCAGCAGCAAAGATCACATAGGACCCCACGAACAATCACGTGTGATATACGAAAGTCTATATCTGGAATGCGACCAACGTTACACAGATGCGACAGGTAAGCGACTGTGTAATCGCCGACTTGAACATACGCTTATCCTAATACATGCAGACCTGAGGTCGCACATTCGGAACGCAAGATAAAGAGGTGAAAACCGGTGAATCGAACGTTGAGGGAGAAGTCTGACTACTGAACTCCTCCATTCGACCAAATCGGTCAACTGAAACCGAAAACGGTAAACATTATGCGAAAATGACGAACGGGGGTTCAATGGGAGACGGATAGACAAAAAACTGTAGCACATGATGTCAGCAATCATAATTAAATCTGATTATTCGATAGCGCGTTTTAGTTTGACCCGACACATTATAGAACACAAGTATAAGGAAGATCAAGTGATGGGATCTGAGGAAACGCACCTTCGAGCAGCTGACGTGCACCCCATTTTGCTTCATCTAAGGGTGGAAGACCGATCAAAATGATTCGTTTGGAAGGAAGACCCAAATTCTAGGAAGAGAAAAAAAGTACATCGAGTGAGTTAGCAATATAAATTCACGGCGCAAATAGAGAGACGGACAAAGTAAAGCAAACAAAAATGTCCCGCGCACTCTTTGGATAAACTTATGGTCAAGATCTCAAACGCCCCATCTCAGATGTCAAGACGGGTCACTGCGTGTTAGACTTTCAGCGAGCACCTTTTTCCTTAGGTGCCACGTTGCGTTTTTTCTCCGATCCCCAACTAGCGGCAGAAAAAAGGCTGGAAAAATATACGCTGATCCGGCATTTGGAGCACGCGCGGAGAACAATTGAGGAACATTCTAGACAAAACAGGCGATCGATGAGACTAAGAAATTTCCCAAAGCTGTTGCAAATGGACCGACGACTGCAATTATACGCCGGTCGAATTCGTGATAAAAAGGAAGGTATCAGGTAGTACGCATTCTTCAAGAAAAATATCCTTCTGAGATAGTCTATCCAACCAACAGGTGATTTGTTCGAAAACCGAGTCATGTTCTGTTTCACTACTCATGGGATCAAACGATTGATCGTGTTGCGCCACTATGATATGTGATCATTGATAATCCACTATCGAGAAGTTTCGCATTATAACGCAAGATGAAACGCAAACGCGAAATTAGGTGGGTTCGGTTGAAAATACAGGTAAGGTAAATGATATTGAAATATGTGCACGACGGCAAGTTATTCATATGAGTTTTGAGATGAGACTGGATGAACAGATACAAGAATGAAATAGGTGACCCGACTAAGGGTGAGTAATAAGAGAATGACAACAGCTTGCAGAGGAAGCGAAGGGGATTAAATGAGGTCAAAATTGGCCATCACGACGCGATTACACCTTGACGTGGTATGATGGCTTGTGCATCTCTGTGACCCGAAGAGCAACACAGGATGGCTTTTATCAAGCCAGGAGATCTTATCATGCCTGGAGGGTCAATGGGTAGAGGTCAGACGAAGCCCGATCTCCTGATCCTCCATGTTGGGGGTTTGACTGCGATTTGCGTTTCAGTCGGTAAAACATGGTGGAGGAATAATCAATCCAAGTAAATGGGCCCCCACTTCGCCCCACCCGCTGCCTTGCGGTTAGGTTCTTGTTAGAACTAAAGGCTTTGGACGAGAACCCTAATCGTTCTCCTGCATAGTGGCTGGACACCCTAGTAGTACTCGTCCGTCAAACCCCGATGCATACACAAAATAAAAATAATTTCATACTGCATCCGTCGTCGCGCAGGATAATCAGGACCGTGCCCGTTGCATCGAGCGGGGTGGGTAGTGATAAGTGGGCTACTGCTCAGATATCCCAACCTTTGTTTAATTCTTTGTCTTCAGTACCCAGCCCTCTCCAGTTTCCCCTTCTTCCAACCTGTAATAGTCCCTGAAGAAACTTGGATGTCCCTCGCCAAATGTCGTTGCCAAATAGCACTGTAGGTAATGTATCTCGAAACGAAATGCAGATTCTAAAGCCTCGTCAATCGCTGAGTTTGGGGGCCTTCAACGTGAGAACTCTGATGTGGGTAGGTCAACAAGCTTGTCTGGCGAG